CTTACATGCAGTGAATAGTTTTGGCTATTTGTTTTTACAACCGGCGGCCTGACATAAACCCTCTTTTGGGAATGCATTAATCAGTGATGTCTAAATACTCTTAGAAAGTACATATGATAAAAATATATTAAAGTTAGAAAAGTTTAAATAACTGAATAATATTAGATATAAATTAATATTTGTAATTTTTTACACATTACAGATAATGTTTTGCTTACATCTCTCATAAAATAGTTAAAAATTATGTATTACAGAAGTGTCATTGAAAAATAATTACTATTTTTTTTATACTTTTAGTATTTGTCATTAAGTACCGCTGGTCATATAACATTAATCAAGTAAAAATTTAATTTATATAAAAAATGCTATAATAATACTTTAGATAAAAAAAATACATATTTTTATTTTGTCTAAGAATTAATAATTCATACTGTCGTGAAGTCATCGCTTATTTATTTTGTACAAAATGAAATGAATACAATTCAAGCTTAATTAAGTAAGAGAGAAAATTATCTGAAATAGAAACCGAGCATGGCGTGTAACGTTTGTTTAAAATGATAAACGCATCAGATAACAGTATGCAAGCGAACGAAGACCTAAATTATTACAGAAGGGTCTTTATTTACATTAACAGATAGATTGTTAGCTGATAATTACATTGAGGCCTCTGGGACTTTATAACGCTATGTAAATTAGAGTAATTATGATTATAAATTTAGTTCACGGTTTGTAATATGAAAAGCATTACATTATGCTGAAAAAATATTAAATTTGTATGATGTGAATGTTGGGATTCTTAATTTCAAGTAACCTTAGTACATGTTTGTATGAATACTACATACGAGAGGTTTCTCGTTTCCAATCAAGTAACTTACTTTAATATTATATTAATAGGAAAAGTTTTAACGCCACGTATGTAGTGTGACTTGCGTGTAATGGTATAGTACATTTACTAAATAGTGCTAATAAATTTAAAACTACATAGAACTATAGATGTAGATGAAACAATTAAATTCTTATTTATTATAGAAAACTCCTTTAAGAAGGTTAAAACTATTATTTTATTATAGCTCAAGACATGTGTGTACCCTTCTCAAACATTCGCTAAGATAATTGGCCGCAATTGCCTCGAGTCTCGTTCTGATTTAGTTCCACTATGGCGTCCTATCTAAAATGATTATCAAAATTTCAGTTTCGTAATTTTACATATAAGATAGTTTACTTTGAATTACTATATTGCTATATTTTTACTTTAAATTTGGTTTCGTCATCAGCCTATCAGAGCCCACTGCTGAGTAAAGGCCTCTTCTCAAATGGAGAAGGTTTAAAGTCAAACGAAATTATTCGAATGTGACTCGGTCTGTGTTCATATTAAATAAAGAATGTAAATGTTATAAATCTTTTTATAAAAAAGAAAGTCGTGTTAGTTACACTATTTATAGCTCAAGAACGACTGTACAGATTTGGCTGAAAATTTGTGGAGAGATAGCTTAGAACAAGCGAAAAGACATAGGATAATTTTTATCTAATTAAAAAAGAAAAAATAATAGGTTGATAAAATGCAAAACCTTCTTATTCTTTAAGGAGGAACCGAGTTCGATCGGTTAGCTATACATTTCTAATTCTGGAACAAACGCAGACGAAGTCGCGGGCATTAACTGGTGCATTATAAGAGCAAAACATTATCTGTATAGATCTAATGTGACAACTAAGTGGCGAGCAGCTGTCATGCATGGCTCGTTGTATCCGGCGTGAAAATAACAGTTAGCCGCTTACAGTTGTTGATATTGGATTATACATATTTTATTATTAAGTTTCTAATTTTAACGACGTTGTTAGACTATTACTAGGATATTTTTTCTACTTTTTCTTCAGTCTTAATGTTTCAAGTGTGACATGACAAACACACATTTATACACTTAGCGTTTCACAAGTTGCTGAAGCAGATTGTATATTGTCATCATTTTATAACATTAGTGGGGCATGTTATAATATGCCGCGGCATTTTTTCGTGTAAGGTTAGGTAGGTTAGGTTCATGTTTTTAAAATGCCCGCTTGTAAACGGTCATGTCATATAAATTGCCAGCGACATTAATATTATGTTGCTAAGTTATGTTTGCTGTATATTCACAGCTTTAAACGGGCTCCGGACTAAATCTGTAAATCCCGGAGTCGTAGGTATCTGCACGCTCGACCCTAACATCAAAGTTATCTTAAAATTATAGGATTTATGAATATACTTGGTCCCTGCGTAGTTTCAATGTGTGTTTGTATTATTAATAGTACTCCATGGTTACTTAAATTTAACTTTTTAATATATGTAATATGTAATAAACATATATAATTCTTTATATTATTTCTCGTAATGTAGCTTTCTAGAATAATGTAATAAAAAATGACATAAAAGTTATTTTTAAATATATTTTGTATGGAGAAATAAAAAAAACGGTCATCAACAGAAGTTACCTCTTAAGATTTCTGTGCTTAGAGGCTTATAAAAACAGATATTCTAAATATGAGTTTAAATATGAAACTAGAAACGTGAATGTGATTATATGACCCCTTAGTATTAGTTCGTATCGTCAAACCAAATACATGCAGTTTGAAAGTTTTTTAACTATATTTTTTTCTTGGTGTTATATAAAGTAACTGATGATACGTACAAACTGTCGGTGTTCAATTTGACGTTGCAAACTCATACTTGGGTTAAAGACTGATGACTAAAGTTTTTAACAAACTTTTTCTCGTCCCCATCCAGATGCGAATGCCATGATTTCTCAATCTCCGCCGGTTATAACATTATCCTCTGCTAAATGTTCCGAAAATATCGTAAAAATTCAACAATTTGATTTCCATCTGATATAAACCTGATTTATTACTTAATGCTTAATTTTAGACAAACCTTCGAACATTCGAACGTTCTTTTGCGTTACCATAAATTCGAAAAGAATTTTTTCTTAACTTCAGCTTCCGAATGAATTATAAAGCAGATATTATTTAGTAATCACTAACCATTTCACAAATAACAGTTTTATACCAAATGTGTTTCAATCGTGGAGTACCTGTCAACGTGAGATGAAATCGTAAAACGGAAAGCCTCTCGGGTATACGTTGGTAGCGAGAAATTTGAGATATAAAATATTATTCATTGTTACGATTCCTGGTTTAGTTCGACATTACTAATGTACATATGTATTTTGTTTTAATAACTTTTGTATACATATACATATAACATACTATGTTTGAAGTCAGTGGTGGCCTAGTGGTTAAAAGGCACGCCTCTCATGCATGAGGGCGCGGGTTCGATCCTGGCAAGTACTAATGTGATTTTTCAGAGTCATATGTACTTTCTAAGAGTATTTAGACATCACTGATTAATGCATTCCCGAATAGGGTTGATGTCAGGCAGGCGGGCGGTCGTAAAAACAATTAGCCAAAACTGTTTACAACATGTAAGGCAGACCCTGGCTAGAGCTAGGAAATTGCCAGGTAGAAGAAGAAGAATACATACTATGTCGGTAAGAATGATATATTACAATGTATTTAAACTATTACTTGCTATAATGTTTACTCAAATAGTTAAATATTGTTACTACGATTATTTAATAAACATGCTTGTTGAGTTCTGACGTAACGGTCTGACCTTGACGTGACCTTGCAAATTATTTGAAGGTTTTCAGTTCTGATTGCAATTATAATTGTTCTGTTTAGGACTATGGGAATTATATTGTATTGCTTATTGATAATTAATGCAATTATTTCAATTTTTTTGTTTTGAATTTTTGTTTAGGAAGTCATTAAATTGTTTTTGTTATACATACTTATAATCTATATATAATTGTGGTTATATATTACAGCATATAATATATACTAAATAGTCGGATAGATAGAAGTCGATTTTTTTTATGAAGCCTCAGTAAAGGCGAAAGTCGTTTGAGATAAGACAAGAATTTGAGATGTTTGGCTCTTCTATCTACTTATGTGCTCTAAGACCAAAACTTTCTTATGAACATAAATGTTTCGTTCAAGTTTGTGTAATAAAAGCAACGTGTGTTCTAGTTAATGTTAAATCCTATAAACTATAGCTGTATTTAGCTAAATTCGTCTGCATTTTGGCTCAATTAAATAAAAAACATCACTCAAAACAACTTACTTTAAAACTTCAGTAATTTTTTAACCATATCGTATAAATAATCAAATATTATTATGTAGTAAGATGGAATGATTTTGATGCTAATCGTTTTCGGTACTTTTAAATCGTTTAAAATATATTCTCCATACATGTAGAAGACCATTTAACTTTTCAAGCTATTTGGCACAAAGGTAGCGAGGAACTGAGTGGCGCTGAATGTTTTCAGTGCACCGTCTGTAAAAGGTACCAAAATAAAATTTAACAGGTTACAGATACAGTGCTTTAAAGTGCACCAGAATCTACAATACTGTCGATTCATACTGAAACTACTCTTTCACTATTTCACGTTGTCTTTCTTTTTTTATAGGTTTAGGTACGAAATTTCGGATGCATATTTTAAGCCTTAAAAATTGAAATGTTTTTATTATATGAATTTCATTTCCAATATTCCGTTATTTACTTTATTTACTTGGTCTTCCTAATGTATAATGTATTCGGCTAGTCAATATAAGTTGGGGCAGCAAATTTCGATCTTAGTACAGATCTCGGAGGTAGAGGTTTAGTTGCTATGATAACGTTTACGTGGCTCGAATTTTATCACGGCGCCGCTGAGCCAATGCCGCATTATTCCTGGTGACAGATGGGATTTGCCACCCCACCTCACCCATAAAGACAATTCTAGCACGGATAATCTTACTCAATTTGTATCTAAGATAGACTTATATCTTACACGTGTTCTCAGCATACTATATAAACAAATTACTTATATATTATTATTACTCTAACATATCTTTTGGTTAAATTAAATCAACATGAAACCATCTCGTCGCTGTATAGTGTCTGACCTAGTGGAATATGGAATGCAGTGATGGAATTTATAACAAATGTTAGTACGTTTAAGATTGTGAAAATGATCGTGCTATCAAACATATTCCGCGGTAGTCATCAACAACAGCAAATACATAGCGAGTTGACGGAGAAAAGTGTTAGAGAAAAACAAACACATCTTGTGTCACAAAGCTCATTGAGATTGAAGAAACGGACGAAAACACACGACAATATTAAAGTGACGATATCGAAGGATGATTGTAAACCATCGGTCGATAGAAGACTCTCGAACAGTGTGGATGCCATAGTAACACATATTGATACCAAAAACAAAGTTATATGTAGTGCCAAAGGATTACTAGAAACTAATTTAGACGACCTATTTAGCGATGGGAGTATAGATAGGTGGTCGGACGAACCAAAGATCTTGGGTGCTAGTGAACCCATATTAAATACGAATGATAATGCTAAGACCAAAAGTAATCGAGAATCTCTCATGTCGGATGATGAGAGTGATGTAACGGCTATAGACAGCGATTGTATTGACGAGGCGAGCAGTGAGCAAAGGAAATGTATGGGCGCGAGGCGGCTCGGGCATATGCTAAGGAGGGTGTTGTCTAGAAATGGTGAGTCACAAAATACATTTTAATCCTACGATACTTAAAATCGATAAGTCCCAATAAATTTTATATTCATAACTAACTAAACAGTATTATCCATCACTATTTATAGAATAATTAATGTCAAATATGATTATTCACCGCAATATCTTTCAATCACGAAACACTGATGCAGTTAGATAACACGGAGCAATAATGGAAAAAATAGAACTGCTAGGTTGTCGTTGAGGCGACATTCATTTATTTGTTTTCAATTGTAGCAAATTGCTTCTGACAATCTGATTGAGACGGTGAAGTAAAATCTTGTTACTATGTCTATATCATGGCTATATATAGGTATATATATTTGTATGTGTCGTTTTGTTTTCGTTCTATAAATTTTCTATGGCTAAAAATATATGTATTATATCAAATTAAAAACTCTCTTACATATTTAATATTGATTGAATGATTGACAATGTAAAATATCAATTATTTTAATCTGAATCGTTTATTGAAACAGAAAATAACAATTAAATTCAACATAGTTGCGTTAAAATCACCTCAAATGAATCGATTTTTTTTTTGACTTGCTGTATGACGGTGTTATTTATTAGACTTGAATTCATTTTTTTCACAATATGATAATGGATAAATGCGTTTGATTATATACAGGGTGACTGGTGAATTACTATCAACATTTAAGGAGAATCGGTACATGATTCTCATTCGAATTATGTAAAAAAAATAGACACTTAATTTTTGACAAAATTTCCGTATAAATAAGTAAAGTGTTAACACGTTCCAAGTGTTCAAGTGTGGACGCGTGCGGCGGCGTGCTGATACAACACCACGTCACGACACGCGTATGTGTGAGTGTCAGTGTATACCTAATCTGTAGGGTGTTCATACGATGCGTAATTAATTACATAACTTTTGGTTAACTTTACTAATGGTACGAGAGCTAGCAACGTCAAAAAAACAAGCATTTCAGGTAGGCTAGTTTTTAGATATGCTATCTCTCACACTCCCCCGGACGTCATACGGGCTATCTGGCTGCCGGTAGTGGTTGCGTTCATCAGTGCGCATCGTACTTGTCGAGGTAAAAAATTAATATATCAAATCATTTTAAGAAGGTTTTTATTATTATTATTATTATTATTGAACTATTCACAACATATATTTATTATTGCCAGGTATTTTTATTGTTGTTTAAACGGTGCCAAGCGGCAATTTTGAATTAAAAATTTATTTTTTTCAAACTATTTTAGTATAGCTGAAATTTTAATAGCATGATATTTAACTATCTAAAAGCTCAGAATTAATTTGCCAGGAAAAAAATCGGTTGTTAAACTTTTGCCAGATCGAAATAAAGTGTAAAGAGATGTAGTATCATTTAGCTTGGTCTAGAAAATTAATCGTCTAATAAATGATGGAAGAAGGATTAAAAACTATTGAATTTATTTATAGATGAATACGGTATAAAAATAATACTTTATTGTTGCACAAAATTGAGATAATGATCAATGTTAAGTTTGAAAAAGCGCTCTTGCAACCGAAAGACTAACCGCTTCAAGTATGATTTCTAAAACCCTATCGTATAATTTTGAAAAAAAGTTCCGTAATTTTAATTCATCAAGTCTACCACCGAGTAAAGCTGAGTTATATCAACACTTACTACGAGTTCGTTATGTCACAACGTTTTTGAGAAATGCTTATTTAAAATACCCAACATCTCTATCACCTCAAGCTTCTGGCTGGACCATTAATGATGATAAATATGATTTTATCTGGTTTGTTGGGAGCAATTACCAACATTAGTTGCTGATATTATTATTAAAGGTAAAAATTTGAACTAAAATACAAAAAAAAATATTTCTCGAAAGATATTAAAATTTTTGATTCTATAACAGATAACAGCTTATTACAAAATGATAATAATTTTGAGGACGATGATAACAATGGAAATGACAGCAGTGATGAAGATGATGATCTTTTTCAAACTTAACATTGATCATTATCTCAATTTTGTACAACAATAAAGTCTTATTTTTATACCGTATTCATCTATAAATAAATTCAATAGTTTTTAATCCTTCTTCCATCATTTATTAGACGATTAATTTTCTAGACCAAGCTAAATGATACTACATCTCTTTACACTTTATTTCGATCTGGCAAAAGTTTAACAACCGATTTTTTTCCTGGCAAATTAATTCTGAGCTTTTAGATAGTTAAATATCATGCTATTAAAATTTCAGCTATACTAAAATAGTTTGAAAAAAATAAATTTTTAATTCAAAATTGCCGCTTGGCACCGTTTAAACAACAATAAAAATACCTGGCAATAATAAATATATGTTGTGAATAGTTCAATAATAATAATAATAATAAAAACCTTCTTAAAATGATTTGATATATTAATTTTTTACCTCCACAAGTACGATGCGCACTGATGAACGCAACCACTACCGCCAGCCAGATAGCCCGTATGACGTCCGGGGGAGTGTGAGAGATAGCATATCTAAAAACTAGCCTACCTGAAATGCTTGTTCAAAAACGTTACTAGCTCTTAGAATATAAGAAGTTTATTAATATTTATGTTATATTAATTTTTATTTTGTCATATATAATCGTCAAATATCACGTCCTCAAATATCGATAGTAATTCACCAGTCACCCTGTATATATATTAAATTTTAAAATTTCTTTAACTCTAAAAGTGCACTTGTTATTTGAATTCATAATAAATTATCGCATCATGATTTTAAATCTGGGCCATGGTTGGCTAAAAATAATATCAGCAAGAAAAAATATATCTCCCTCACTAAGACACCAGAATTAGGTACCTACCAAGGTACCAAAAAATATTGTAATCTGATAAAGTTTCAAAGTATGAGGTAACTTTTTTATATAGAACATTGTAGTCAGCGTATTTCCTAAGGATGTTTTTTCCCTCTATTATCTAACTCATCTGATCTGAAGAAACAAGTCTCACCGTACGAACATTTAAAATTATATTTTAAATAAAACAGATTGAAAAACCCTTTTTTCAAAGTACATTAATAAATACAACAGTATATATTTTGTTAAATTTATTAGCATACTGTACTTAATGCTAGAAGAGCCCTGTATTAAATATTAAAAAGAGTGGCCTCGCAGTATAAATCTAGTATCTAATTTAGACCTTAGATATGATTCACGATAATGGCTTATTGATTTAATTACTTAAATAAGATTTACTTACAATTTTTTTGTACTGAAAAGATACAAAAAAAAAAGTGAATTTATTAATACTTATAAGCTTGTTTTGTTCTTTTTGTCATAACAAATTACATAGTTTTACAGTTGCATTATAATAATTCCGCATAATAATTGTCAGCGGAATGTTGTTGATATCTTGGGAACTTATCTCTTGGCAGAGCAATTAATGGCAACAGCTGATATCCCGCCAGGATCATTTAGTATATTGTGTAAGATAAAATAGACCGGGAATAGCGTTCCGCTGAGGATTCTGTGATGAAATGTTGCTTTACTAAATGAGAGTACCATTATTTGTATACAAGTTTACGTAAATACATTTTAACTCTTAATCTGTATACATAAACGATTTTAATTAATATTAGTGTTAGAGAAATTGTATGTCATGTTTTTTTTGAACATAAATAAAAATGTTACATATTAGTCATACTTTTATAAAGGCACTAGTTTTTGCGAACGACTTTGTCTGCGTTAGTTTTAGAATTAGAAAAGTTTAGCTGATCGGGCGAACTCTATTCTTCCTTAGAGACAGTAGATAAGAAGATTTTGGATTTTATCAACTTATTTTTTTTCTTTTTCAATCGGATGAAAACTATCCTATGTCCTTTCCCTTGTTCTAAGCTATCACTCCACTAATTTTCAGCCAAAACCGTACAGTCATTCATGAGTTATAAATAGTGTAACTAACACAACTTTCTTTTATATATAAAAATGTTTATAAATGTGACCAAAAGTACTCCTTAAGTTGTATTAACAATTTTCTAAAAAAAATTGTATTATTCTAAACCAAAGACGAACCATACAGTGATATCATTTTTTTCGTTTTATAACATCAATATCTCGTGATAGCCGGTCGGCTTCCATCGTCACTGAGATGTAGAACAGCAATTCTGAATCCAGAGAGACATGAATACACAAATTTGAAACTGTAAGCGGCTCCAATAACGAAAACTAATCGAAGGTTCCAACAACTGCACTTTGACAAAAACTATCTTTGCAGATACATATAAATCTTAATAATTTCAACGTCGATAAACTTAATAATACTTGGATAAGTAGAACAATATATTTTAATTCAAAATAATTATATATAGAAAAAAAATAATTACAGAAAGTTATTTTGCATTGTCTCTTCTAAAAAAATATAAATACAAATTCAAATTATGTGTTCCTTAAATAATATCTTAATTTTAAATAGCGTAATATTATTTACTATTATTAATACATATAGTCGTACGTTATGATTGAATTAGGCCAAACTTGTATAAACTGAGTAATATGAAAAATGATCCGTTAGCGCCCAGCACTTAAAGTCTAATGTAGTGTCAAACACGGCGCATGCCGCGGAAGTTTGTTATCATTTGAGCAATTTTCGCATCTATTAACATCCCGTCTCCACGTCTCCCTTATATCCTGAACTACAGACTGGACCTTGGTTATATATAAAAGTAGCTTTAGAGATCCAAAAAAGACACAAAGTCACTTACATGGAAACAAAACAACTCAAGATATAATTACATAACGAGTTGTTTTACTCATTCAATGTATTCAATTTACAAGTGGCTAGTTTTGTATAATATATTCAGATAGTTTAGTTTTGAATACATTAAAGTAGACGGCAATATATTATAATACTGCGCCCTCATATGTAAACATTTGTTTGCCCAGTTTTGTTCTAGTATTGGGTAAAACTAAGAAACTAGCGCGGCGCGAGCGCAGCGTACGTTTAGTTGTGTTCTTTAATATCGTAAATGATAAGATATTATGGAGTAACACATAAGTATATATT